TGCCACAACGCCCAGCTAATTTTTGGTTGTTGTTGTCATTGTTACTTAGTAGGCCCAGGCTGGGCTCGAACCTGCCACCTTCGGTGCATGTGGCCGGCACCCTACTCACTGAGCTACGGGCGCTGAGCCTAAAATCTTCTTTTTCGAACATAGTTAAGGGGGTGCTCTGGCAGTGGATGTTTCCTGAGTATTGAATAAAAATTTCCTTTTTCTTTTGTCACTCTGTCACTGTGTGTGTGTGTTTGTCTGGGCCAGGGTACCAGTGTGCACTTTCGGACGAAAAAGCTGCCTATGAGGTATGAGTCACATATGTGGCCCTTGAGGTCCCAAAAGCCATCTTGAGGGAGGAGCCACCTGCTGTCATAGAGCAAAATAGCCCGATTCAGACAACAAGGAACCAGTGCCAAAGATAGGACAGACACACTGAGCCACAACCCTAACCCCTAGTGCCCTGGCCCTGATATCTATCTCTGCCCCTGATCTCCTGGCCTGGGCCAAGCTCCCTTCCTTGCTGGGGCTGAGCTGGACCTCCTGGGGCTGCTCTTCTCCCCCTTTCTTTTGCAAGGCCAGCCCTGGACTTGGCCCCTCCCTGGGCTTCTTCCCAGCAATGGCCCTGTCCTGGCTCTCACCCATGGCCTCCTCAGGCTCCCTCTCTAAGAGTGAGCTCAGGAAGAGTAGGGGGACAGCACATCCCTGATGTCCCCCGACTGCACACATGTGTGGTTCCTGGACACTTTCTCTGTAACGATTGCAGGACCTGCTCCCTCCAAACACGGCTACAGTAGGGTTTGAACTCAGTTCCTCTCCTGTAAGGCTTAGGGAGATTTTCTTATCCCAGAGGGTAGTATGACCTCAGCCCACATGAAGATCCACTACAGTAAAGAAAGACGTTTACAGCCTTGCTAGAGTTTATTTAAAATCCTTTATTCATAATACATTCATAGAGGACAAACATTAGGGAAGATAATTAATATTTCCTTTCATTGGGCTAGAAATGAAAGAATTAAAAACAATCACTTCATTTGTAAACTGGAAACCATTCTGAGAGTATTGAGGATAATTGTATCCCATATACCTGAAACACAAGATCAATTTTCTTTTCTTTTTTTTTTTTTTTTTGAGACAGAGTCTCACTAGGTTGCTCTTGGTAGAGTGCTGTGGCGTCACAGCTCACAGCAACCTCAAACTTTTGAGCTTAAGCGATTCTCTTGCTTCAGTTTCCAAAGTAGCTGGGACTACAGGTGCCTGCCACAACATCCGGCTATTTTTATTTATTTATTTATTTTTTGATATTTGTTTATTTCTTTATTTTGAGACAGAGTTTCACTTTGTTGCCCTTGGAGGAGAGATTTTGGGCTTAAGCGATTCTCTTGCCTCCGCCTCCCAAATAGCTGGAACTGCAGGTGCCCACCACAATGCCCAGCTATTTTTTGGTTGTAGTTCTCATTGTTGTTTGGCAGGCCCAGGCTGGGTTCAAACCAGCCAGCTCTGGTGTATGTGGTTGATGCCCTAGCCACTGAGCTACAGCCGCTCAGCCACAAGATCAATTATCAACTAAAAGTTATTTAACTGGGATTTCTAAAAAATATATTGCTCCATGAGCTCATTGGCTTTGCTGGTCTGTGTGGGTCATCTAGAAGTGGGGACAGGCACTGAGCCTTTCTTGGAAGAAGGTGCATGGTTCTGCCACTCAGCACAAGCCTCCTCCATTCCTTGGAAACACTGAGGCCTGGCCCTCAGTTTTCCTGAGCCTAGAGGGCAGGAGAAATTGAATGGAGCTGAGGGTGAAAGAGTGGGAAAGATGACAGAGAGGAGGTCTAGGGACTGGGACAAGGACAGGGACAAGAAGGCGGGGCCCAGCAGGCAATAGAGAAGAGGGAGGTTGTGAGAAGGGAAGGGAGGGAGGGAGCTGGATGCCCCTGGGGGGAGCAGGCCACCCTTAGGAGAATCTAAGCAGGGGGAGGCAAGGGCCCAGGGAGGGAGAGGGAGGAACCAGGCAGATGTGGCACCAGCCAGAGGGACGAGGCCCCACCTGGAGGATGTCCTGCAGCCTCCTGCTCAGGGCCTGGCTTTCCTCTTGCAGCCCCTGCCAGGGCTGGAAGGGCCTTCCCTGGTGGTCCACAAAGGTGTCCCAGCAGTGCTCAAACTCTGAGAAGGGACAGGGAAGAGGAGTCAAGCCCCTGCTGTGGGGAGGGGACCCAGCAAGCATGTATGACCCTGAGGGACAGACTCTGCACGTGGTCCTTCAGTGCCCTTTGTCATCCCTGCCCTGGGGACTTTTCTGCTTCCTCAGACTCTTTCTTCCTTTGGCATCTGAGCCAGCCCAGTCCTCATTCTTTCTGGAGGCCCCCAAGTCCCGCTTTACTTCCAGCCGCCCTCTTTGTCCCCTGGGACCACTGTCCTGTCCTGGACTCACCCTCCTCTCCTGGACCTTCTTCTAATAGGCCCCACCTGGGCCCCAGAGTACAACCAGCACCTCTGCAGGCAGCAGACTGGGGCCTTCTGCAGGGACACTGACTCTACCCCATTTTCTGTCACCTCCCTGGGGCCTCTCCCTGCAACCTCCCAAAGCTCCATGCTGACCTGTGGGGCTCATGATGGCCACTTGGGCTCCAGCACCCTGCAGGGCCTTCAGCCCCTCCTCATGTCCAGGGTGGTAGTCATAGATGCGGGCAGCCAGGACTCGCAGGCTCACATGGCTGTTCTCCCTCAGGAACGCAGCCACTTCTTGGGCACAGCTGAAACAGGGGCTCCAGGAGATGAAGCAGGTGACCCTGTAGTGTTTGGCTGGGTCCAGCTGCCAAGACCTAATGAGGTCCAGGAAGCACAACTCTGCGTGACGGCCCTTAGAGCCATTTCGTCGATCCTTAGCCTAGTAAAGAAAAGAAAGTGTGAGTCATTTGTCATGAACAGGGTGGGGGACCTGGATCAGGCTGAGGCTGAGGGCCTCCAGCACAAAATGAGAGGGGTGCCCACACCTCAGTTATTGAGATGAGTGAATTTTCATGTAACATTGAAAATATCAAGGCCAGGAGCAGTGGCTCATGCCTGTAATCCTTGCACTCTGGGAGCTCAAGTGGATTGCTTGAGCTCCCGAGTTTGAGACCAGTCTGAGCAAAAGTGAGACCCCATCTCTACTAAAAGTAGAAAAGCTGAGGCAAGAGGATCAATTGAGCCTGAGTCGGAGGTTGCTATGAGCTATGATGCCAAGGCACTCTACCCAGGGCGACAGCTTGAGACTCTGTCTAAAAAAAAAAAGGAAAAGGAAAAAGAAAATATCAGTGGCACCATAGCTCAGTGGGTAGGGCACCAGTCACATACACTGAGGCTGGCAGGTTTGAGCCTGGCCTGGGCCTGCAAAACTACAATGACAACTGCAACCAAAAATAGCCGGGCGCTCTGGCCGGTACCTGTAGTCCCAGCTACTCGGGAGGCTGAAGCAAAAGAATCACATGAGCCCAAGAGTTTGAGGTTGCTGTAAGCTGTGATGCCATAGCACTTGACCAAGGGCAGCATAGTGAGACTCTGTCTCAAAGAAAAAAAGAAAATTATAAGATAATGCAAAATTCCAAGATGAATGAATATCACTTATGTAAACACAGATAGCCCAGGACTGGTGACAGTGTTTTTTCTCAGTTCCAGTACATTCTGCAGAGACCTCTCAGTATCTGTCTTTATTTAGAATGCTGATGTTTTGCCCATCAGGAAGTTTTGGAACTAAATTTGATATTAAGTAATACTTTCAATATTTCAATCCTGATGTGATTTCTCACATGCCTGAGTTTCTGGAGCACCCTCAAACTTAGCACCCAAGGTTGGAACCTAGGGAAGCTCACCCAGACCCAGGTGTGCATGGAGGGGCTGCAGAGCTGGTGAAGGAAGAGGGTTCGGCTGAGTCCCAAAGTCACTGGCTTGATGCCTGGCAGCTGACTGAGTCTCCTTCGTGGGGTAGTGGCCCCTTATCTGTCTACTCCCTCACCCCACCTCCATATCGACAGCAATTGTTCTGGAAGCGGCGATTCTGTGACTCACCCTGTGCTGGGCCCAAGAGAGATATAGAAACAAACCAAAAGGGCTCCCTGGGCACAAGTGAGAGGGACAAGGGGCTCAGGCAGGACGCACCCCAGAGTCCTTGGGTCATGGGGTGATTGTCACTGTTGGAGATTTGCCCCAACAGCAGTGAAGGACATTCAACAACACGCTGGGAACTGGTCATGCTGAGGACACCAGAGCAGAGAGGACAGTGGGTGGGATGTGACTTGGCCAGTCCCTACTCCTCCCTGATGCTTGGCCTCCCTGTCACCCTGACAGGGACCTTCTTGTGGGCTCCATCCGGGTAATAGACTCTCAGGACGGCCTCTCTTGCCCCTTGTCCCACCTCAGTCTCTCTTCCCCAGGATTAGGCCAGGAGCAGGCACCAGGAATCTTGGTCTGTGAAGTCAGGTCAGCCTGATTCCTCTATAGATGTTCCTGTGGGAGCTGCTGTCATGAGGGGTCCTAGGCAGGGTCCTTGGAGCCACAGAGGTGTCAGGCAGATCTGATACCCGACAGAGGTGTTGGGCTCTGGGGCGGACCCTTTCCATCTGCCCTGAGCCCCTAAGAGCATAGTGGGAGAGGGTGGCCGAGCACTGGACAGAGGGATGACACTGGACCTGTGGTGCCGGGGCTTGGAACATGTGGCCAGATGATGACAAAGCTAACAATTGCCAACCATGGTGCATCTGGTGAAGCCAAAGTGTCCCATCTCATCCCAGAGCAGAGCAGTAGCACCCAAGGGGACCACAGGGGACAGAAACTCTGGGGGCAGCACATGTACCTTCTGCCCATGAAGGCTGGGACTGGGGAGGCCCTGCCTGGATGCAGTGCCTGGCTGGTTACCTGGTTACGCAGGAAGCCCTTGTACTGGTTCTGAGGGACCCAGGAGTCACCATCCAGGAGCTCCACCTTGTGACACAGGTAGGTCTGGTGCTGCCCAAAGACTGAAGGGTCGTTTGTGAAGTTGTGCATGAATGTGTCTGGATCCATCAGGTGTCTGTGGACAGAGTGGGGAATGCTCATGGACAGAGGCTCCTCCTGGGACCACTCCCCTACATCTGACATTCTCACCCTGTAGCCACATCTTTCCCCTACAACCCACTTCCTCCCCTGCACCCTACATCCCTCTGCGGTTCCCCACATCCTAGGGCACCTGTTAGAAAAGCTTCCACTCACTTGCCGCAGCCTCCAACCCTCCCTCTCGGACCCCTACAGCCTCACTGCAGAGACAGCACAGCCCGGGGGGCACCCTTGGTCTTGTCAGGGTCTCACCAGGATCAGGGCAGTGAGCTGACATGTTCTGGGGAGGTCCTGCCCCTCCCCCCCCGGGCAGGGCTGTGCCTGGTCCCCTGGCCTCTCCATATGCCCTGTCCCGGCTCTGCCAGCTCAAGGTGGAGTCACTGGGGCTTCTCCTCCTGTCTGTAGGGTTGACTCAAGACACATCTGCCTCAGGGCAGGACACTCCTGAGTGAGTCCATCAGGGAAAGGAGAGGAAAAAGAAAGGCAGGAAAACTCCACTCTGAACCTTTAGCCTTCCATTGTCACACTGATGAAAAATGACAAGTGCTCTGTTGCCTAAATACCTGTTACTTCCTACAGTTTAAACCCGAAGGTCTGCAAAGCTCCTTTCCTTACTACAGTCAAGTAGAGATGACCCTTCCTTTCCTGGAGGGCCAAGGGCAATTGTGGGATGACACTTTTGCATCTGGAAGAGAACTCTTCCTAGTGCCCTTTTGCGGTCCTGCGAGCAGGCAGCACGCGGCCCCAGGTTCACCTGCATCCCACTTGGAGCAGCACAGACCCTTCCCTGTGCCTGTGTCTCATGCTTCTCTGCAGAGATCTTTGGGCGGAAGCAAAGAAACAGCGCAGCTGACCAGACAGACACTGGACTGTGTGGAAACAGGTGCCCATGGGGTTGCAGGAAGAGCCGGACAGCAAAGCTGTGCAAAGAACAAGAGGCCTGTTGCTCCAGAGACCCTGGGAGGAGAAGCCAAGGACCATCCTTCCAGGCTTTAGTCCTGAGGAAAGAGCTCTCTAGAAGTTTTCTCCTCTCTCCTTACTCCCTTCAAGGCAGGGGTCAGATGGCTGAGCCTGATCCCAGCCCTCCCTTGTCCTGGGCAGACACCTGGATGACAGTTCTGACTGTCCCCTTACACCTGTGGCAAGGTCCTGGTCACAGTGATGTGTCTCCAGTCTGTCTTTTCTTGTTTTCTCCCATCTGAACTTTCTTCTTGTCTCAGTTTTCCCAGTGTCAGTCACCTTCTGTGACCCCTGAATACTCCTTTCCTCCCCACTATCTCCTCTGCAGGGAGGCTGACCAGGCCAGCTGACAGCTGTCACCCAGAGCTGTCCCTTAATCATCCCAGGGTGCGGCCCTGATTTGCTAGTTACCTGGTACCTTCCCTATAAGAGTCTTCCCTGTCTGCCGGACTGTGTCCTCAGCAAGAGTGTGGGGACGCTCCTGAGCTAAGGGACCCGTGCCCAGTTGAGTTCCCTGCTGCGCCTGCCCTTCTAGAGACTGCTGTGGACTTGTCACCCCACATGGCTTCCTGAGAAGGGGGTGTGGGGCTCTGCTGTCTTCCAGCATCCTGGCAGCTGCCGAGAAATGCCACCTCACCCTCGTGCTCAGAGGTTCCGTGTTCCTCTGTGATCTTTGAGAATCATCACTGTGCTAAACCGGCACAAAGCCGCACATCCACATGCACTGATGAGGGGACCACAGGAAGCTGCTCCTCTAGAGGACACCCCGGTCAGTCACCCGCGAGGTCAGGGATTCAGTCCGATGTTCTGGTCTTCTGTTTGCCTCGCCCTGGCCTTTTACTGTCGAAGGTTCCCGTTTTCATCATCCCTGAGAATTTTCCCATGTTGTTCCTTCAACCACGGCCTCACCTTCACTTCGAAAATGGTCCCACCTTCCCTAAGTCCTTTACTATGGATGTGGCGCCTCTGCCTTCTTTAGGTTTGTATTCAGAGGTATTGTGTCCTTTGCAATTTGTTTCAGTTTTAGAGTCCTTGTGTTGGTTAAATGTTTCAGGAGACCTCTTGCGTTGACCTAATCCTCTTACCTTTGTTGTATGAGTAGATGTGACAGTCTGTGGGGCACTGAGGACAGTCCCCGGAGCACTGAGGACAGTCCCCGACAGACTGAGCTCCTGGTGGCACCAGCCTCACCCTGGTTATTGTCCCACTGGAATTGAGAGCCCAGGGGGAAGCCAGGCACATGGTTCCCAGGCCCTCACGTTCTCCCCTAATGGCTCTTAAGTAAAAAAACACACTTCCTTCCCACACTGTGGGCAAAGTCCTGGGCTCTGGGAGAGCCCAGAGGGGTCCAGAACCCACATAGCCCATTGTGTCCTTTACACAGCTTAGCCTCAGACTCCAGGCCCTACATGTAGACGTGAGAAGCACATGGAGCTGGGCCCTCCCTACCTCAGTATCTCAGTCCTACACACAGGGACAAACCATGCAGGGAAAGTCAGGCCACTTGTTTCCAGGTCCAAGGTGAGATACATTGGAATGAGCTGCAGGAATCCAAAAGGAAAAGGCAGGTCTTCTGCAGAAAGCCTCATAGAGCTGGAAGGGGTGCCTACGTCCCCATGAAGGGGACACGGGGCCTTGATGTGCTGGAGGGACCCAGCTCAGTGCACTCACTGCACTGGACAGGCTCTGTCTTGGCCACCCTTTAATCTAAGTGAAGCAGGGGACAGATAGGGACACATGGCTTATCAGTGTCTATCCCCGACCCAGCATGGCCCATGAGCAGCATAACTGGCCCCTGCCCTGGGAGGGGAACAGTGTCCATGGCCAGGAGCCTGTGGGCTGAGATCCTGGTCAGGTCCTGATGGAGCCCAAGCCAGGAGGTCATATCCCAGAGCACTGGGCTACCCCCTCCCCTTCCTCCTCAGTGTGGCAGATGCTGACGGGGCCCTCAGCCCTGGTCTTTGTCCTCACCCCTTCCCAATGTTGCCCCCTCACCTCCAGCTCCAGCCCCTGCAGCTCTTTGCAGAGGATGCTCCCCAGCTGCCAGTCAGCTTGGCCCAGCTGTGCAGCTGGATGTGCCCTGGAGCAACCTCCACCAATGGGGCAGGTGCTGCTGCAGTGGTAGCCCGGCTCGCCTGGCCAGTGGGGATGATGCCCATCGAGAGGGACACTGTGGACCCCAGGGCCTCCCTATGCAGATGAAGTGTCCCCAGCCCAGCCTCACTGTCTGCCTTTCCTCCTGTCCTACATCACTCACCTCTCCCTGACCTGCTGCTCCACCTAAATAAAGCAGCCAGGGGTGCAAATGAAAATACAGGCCACCAGCAAGTTTTTAGTTAGTGAAGTTAGTGAAATGATTTGCTGTAACTTGTGTTGAAATTCCAGTTTTCGGCTCGGCGCCTATCGCTCACCCAGCTAGGGCGCCAGCCACGTACACCTAAGGTGGCGGGTTCTAATCCCCAGCCCAGACCCGCCAAACAACAATGACGGCTGCAACCAAAAAAATAGCCGGGCGTTGTGGCGGGCGCCTGTGGTCCCAGCTACTTGGGAGGCAGAGGCAGGAGACTCGCTTGAGCCCAGGAGTTGGAGGTTGCTGTGAGCTGTAATGCCACGGCACTCTACCCAGGGGGACAGCTTGAGGCTCTGTCTCAAAAAAAAAAAAAGAAATTCCAGTTTTCATCCCTGAAAACCCCCACATGAAGCCCTGGTGTCTGACCTTGTGACATCAGTGTCCACAGATCTTACTGCTTCAGGAGCTTCCTGGATGTGACCAGGATACCTCCCCCTTTCTGAAGCTTCTTCTCCAGCTCCCAGGTGACTCATGGCTCTGTCCCTCTCTCTGGGCCTTCTCAAGCCCTCAGCCCTTCATCTACCCTCTCCCATGGGGAGCCCAGTCCCGTTCAGGTCCTGGGTCCCCCTCTGCCTCAATGTCTCCTCAACATGTCTCTAAGGCTGGGCAGCCAGCTCAGGAGTCCTCAGCAGGAAATGCCAGCTCCGCCTGGCACTCTGTCCCACCCCTCTCTGCCCCCTAATGGAGCTTTTGCCTGGTGTGTCCTCAGCTGGGGAATATTTCACTGACAGCTTTGGTGACTTAGATTCCAGGGTGATCCTGGGCTCTCCACCGCTCAACTGTATGTTCTCAGAACAAGGACAGAAGACTCCACATAGCAAAATGGTGCTGGAAGCCATTCCCTGCTGCTGGTATTTGGTGACGTGGGATGGGTATGGAAAGGGCTCATGGCTCGGTGCCTGTGGCTCAAGCAGCTAAGGCGCCAGCCACATACACCTGAGCTGGTGGGTTCGAATCTAGCCCAGGCCTGCCAAACAACCAAAAAATAGCCGGGCATTGTGGCGGCCACCTGTAGTCCCAGCTACTTGGGAGGCGGAAGCAGGAGACTCCCTTAAACCCAGGAGTTGGAAGTTGTTGTGAGCTGTGATGCCACAGCACTCTACCCAGGGGGATAGCTTGAGGCTCTGTCTCAAAAAAAAGGGGGTGGCTCAACCCAGGGTGGGAGACCTGGCTAGTTGGCAGCAAATGGTAGATGTTCATTGAAAGATAAGTGGGGAGAACACCCCATGAAATTATCTTCACTCATCATCTCCAGGGAGGTGCTGGCTCCCTCCACACCTGCCCCCGGGAGGTAGGAGGAGACCCAGGACTGGGGCTCCTGGCTGAAAGCCCAGGGCTGGAAACCACAGCGGGACCCCAGAGCTATCGAGTAGGCTCAGAGAGAGGGTCAGGAGGAGAGGAGGGTCACCACAGGTTTAAGACTAAGAGGAGGGAGCCCCCAGACAGCTGGCAGAGGAGGCTCAGAAGCAGAGATGCCCTGAGGAGCCTGAGGTACCTGGGCCTCGGTGCTGGGCTGAACTGCACGTCCTGTCCGGTGACAGTTCCTGGGTCTGGTGCCTCCTGCTTCTGGGAGTGACACAGAGAGGGATGGTGTGATCCTCACTGACATCTTCTTAGTACTTGGGAACTTTATATATTGTAGGTGTCTTAGGAAGTGACCCGAAAGCTGCTGACTCAGTGGTGCTGTGCCCCACCCTTTCCCAAACTCAGGCCATGCATGCCACCCGCATCATGGTCACAGTTAAAGACACTCTCTGCCAGGTTCAGGCCAGCTTTGGCTCTGATTTTCCCACCCCCATAACAGCTCTACCAGGAGTTGTGGACGACATTGGGAAAAAGAAGCTGTGGCCATAGTTTGGCCACTTTGAGCATCAGGAGCCGGAAGGCAGGAGGACAGGGCACAGGTGGAAGGACAGATGTCCACATGCTTAAGAAAGGCCCCATAGGCCCTCGTGTTCCCAGAAGCAGGGCTTCAACGCAGCCGATTCTGCACCCTCCACAGTGGCCTACCCAGGGCCTGCCGGGTCCTGTTGCATCCAGGGCCCTACCTGGAGTCCTGCACTTAGAGGAGGATGTCCGCTCTGAGAGCAGGCCATCATCACAGGCTCTGTGAAGGAAAGGAGCTGAGACGTACCTCCTCTGGCTGTGTCCATTTGTTGATCACAAACTAGAGTACCAGTATTTCCATTCTAGGACCCAGAGTAGTGATCCCCAACATTTTGGCGTTAGGGATTGGTTTCATGGCAGATGATTTTCTTCAGAACTTGGTAAGGGATTGGGATTAGTTTCTCATAAAGGATCCTGCAACCCAGATCCCTGAAATGGGTCATTTACAGTAGGGTTTGAGCTCCTATGGGACTCCAATGCCTCCCTTGATGTGAGCGGAGGAGGAGCTCAGGCAGCAACGCGAGTGATTTGGGGTGGATGAAGACTTGCTTCTTGCCCACGGCTCACCTCTTGCTGTGGGACACAGTTCCTAACAGGCCATGGATCGGTACCAGGCTGCAGCCTGGGGGTTGGGGATTGCACACCCAGAGGAGACAATAGAAGCTCAGAGAGAGGTGTTGAGACCTGTCCAGCCCCCCAGAGAGCAGATAGATGCAGGGACATATAACCACTTCAGAAGGGCCACCTTGTGCCCTATCCTCTCACCTCCAGTACCTGCAGAAGCGGGGGAGGTTGTGTTCCTGCTCCAGTGCTCCTGAGTCCTACTAGTAAGTCAGCCCTGTCCTATCCTGGATCTTCCTGATCTGCCCAGCACACCTGCCCCTGGAGGGCCCCACAGGCTGCCCCATCTCCAGTGAAGCCCCTGCTCTGGCTCCTCTCAGAACACCATGTCTCTGCCAGCTGTCCCATGCAGAGGAAGTCCCACCCTGGTGCCACACTGAGCAAGGGGGTCCTTGTCCCCCAGGGTCACCAATCACATGCCACTGGTGAAAACCTCAGCATTGTCCCCTTGGTTCTCAGGTGGACCCTATTCCTCATGGACGAATGGGGAGTGCTCTAACCCTCTGCTGCAAGGGCTCTCCCATCCTATCTGTCCCAGACATTGCTCCCCTCTCCTTGAGAGGATGTCCCTAGAATGATATCAACCCTATTTGTGTCTCAGGTGGCTGTAGTGTGGACTCTGCTGGGCATGTGTCCTGTGTGTCTGACCAGAGCCAACATCCCCAAAGCATACACAGACCTGGCACCCCATACCGTACACAGAGATCATTGGGGCTCCCAGCCCATGTCCCCCCTCAGTTCTACCCTTCCCAGGGTGAGTGTCATCCTGCCCTAGGCGGCTCTGCTCCAGTCCCCTAATCAGTAAGGCCACAAGGTGTTTCTGAATCCCCTGAGGGAAGAAGGGAGGTCTCAGGGATGCTGGAGGGTGGCCAGGAAGAGCATGGGGAGTTCTGGGCTCTAGTTGTGCAGACCTTGTGGCCTGTGGGACCCCCAGGGGCCAGGACCCCCACCTTTCCAGCCTTTCCCAGGAAACTTCTTCTGCACAGAGGGACAGCCTTTGCCCAGTCACCATCACGGGTCCCCAGCGAATATGTCCCAGAGCCTTCACCATCACAACCCTCCCTGAGCTGTCTATGGGGAGACCCAGGAGGGGACAGCTGTTTGCTTGCCCTCCCTGGGGACACCCTCCTACCAGGACCCCACAGGCTGTGGATGGCTCGACCTGAAGCCCACCTCTGAAAAAGACCTGACCTTCCCCCCAGGGTGGCGCCTGTAGCTCAAAGGGGTAGGGTGCTGGCCCCATATGCCAGAGATGGCAGGTTCAAACCCAGCCCTGGCCAAAAACTGCAAAAAAAAAAGACCTGACCCTGGACTTGCCTAAGACAGGACAGACACAGCTGAACCCCAAACTTGAACCCTGTTGCCCTAGCCCTGGGGTCTGTCTCTGCCCCTGCCCTCCTGCCCTAGCTCAGTAGGAGAGACCTCATCCCAACTAAAAATAGAAATCTAGCTGGGCATTGTGGCAGGTGCCTGTTGTCCCAGGTACTTGGGAGGCTGAGGCAAGAGGATTGCTCGAGCCCAGGAATTTGAGGTTGCTGTTAGCTGGGACACTATGATACTCTAGAATAATAATAATAATAATTCATTCTAAATTTATTGTAATTATTTTTAAATTTACATCTAGTGATCCCACTGCCTTTGCTGGTCTGTGTGTGTCACCTAGACAGGGGGACAGGCACTGCGCCTTTCTTGGAAGAAGGTGTTTCATTTTGCTGCTCAGCACAGGCCTCCTGCCTTCCTTGGAGACATGGAGGCCCGGCCCTGGCCAAGACCCAATGAGGTCCAGGAGGCACAGCTCTGTGTGGCCGGGTGGGCAGCCCATGTAACCCTCTGAACGTGCAGGAGAGCAAAGTGTGAGTCACTTGTTGTGAACAGGGCGGAGAAATCTGGACCAGGCTGAGGTTGGGTGGCAGGGCCCTCTCACACCAGATGAAAGGGGAACCCACACCTCAATTATCGAGATGACCTAATTTCTGTATATTATTTAAAATATCGAGTTAATGCAAAAATCTAGAGATGAAGGAATATTAGTCTTATAAACACAAATGAACCAGGAGTGGTGACTGTGTATTTTTTCTCAGTTCCAGTATATTCTGCAGAGTCCTGTTGCTATCTGCAGGGGCTGCGGAGCCAGGGGAGAGAAGAGAACCAGCTGAGCCCCAAGGTCATTGGCCTGGTGCCACTGAGCTGGCTGAGCTTCCCCGCTCTAGGTATTATCAGTGTGGTCCATGAACAGTTGGCTGAAGGAAACTGGGCCCCACCCTTCATTCTCCAGATGCCTGAACAATGACATCTACTCTGCCACAGGTCACAGGGTGAAACTTGCTGCACAAGAGTGACCTCAGGTGTGTGCTTATCTCAAGTGTAGGTTCCCAGTTTCTGCTGCAACCCTAGATTCGCTTCTGACCTCTGAACTCTGTCCCAGGGCATGAAAGAACAAGGGTCCATATCCTTAGAGGGGTCCTCATAACACAGGACTCTGAACTGCCAGAGGGCTTGTTCCAGCCTGAACCATCCCTGCATCCTAAGGGACACCCAGCCCCAGGCTGTGCACATGACTGATAACATACTTGGCAGCCAAAAGATGCATTTGGCAAGATGTTGGGGTAGACAAGGTTGCTCTGGGGACCCAGGGCCTGACTGCCATTTGGTGCCAGGTTAGAAAGGACACTGCCCTTCCCAAGCTTCCATGGTGTGCCCAGCCCTGGGTGGCACTTTCTGATTTAATTTTAAATGCAGGCTCAGAGCCTGTGGCTCAAGTGACTAAGGCACCAGCCACATACACTGAAGATGGCAGGTTCGAATCCAGCCCAGGCCCGCCAAACAACAATGACGGCTGCAACCAAAAAATAGCCGGGTGTAGCGGTGGGCACCTGTGGTCCCAGCTATTTGGGAGGCTGAGGCAGGAGACTCGCTTGAGCCCAGGAGTTGGAGGTTGCTGTGAGCGTGATGCCATGGCACTCTACCCAGGGGGACAGCTTGAGGCTCTGTCTCAAAAAAAAATAGAAAAACTGAGGCAAGAGGATGGCTTGAGCCCAAGAGTTGGAGGATGCTGTGAGTTATGATGCCACAGCACTCTACCTAGGGCAACAGCTTGAGACTGTCTCAAAAATAAATAAGTAAATAAATGCAGATTGAGATTGACAATACCAATTATCCACATGACTAATCCATAAACCAATGCAATTATATTAAAAATCGGATAGAGATTTACTGGAACCTGACATAGAATTTGGACAACTCATATGATTTCTTTCTTTCTTTCTTTCTTTCTTTCTTTTTTTGAGACAGTTTTTTGTCGTTCCCCAGTTGAGTACTGGAGCATCATAGCTCACAGCAACCTCAAACTATTGGGCTCAAGTAATCCTCTTGCCTCAGTCTCCAGAGTAGCTGGGACTACAGCTGCCCACCACAACACACAGCTATTTTTATTTTTATCTATTTTATCTTTATTTTATTTTTTTTGAGACAGAGCCTCAAGCTGAGCCCCTGGGTAGCGTGCCATGGCTTAACAGCTCACAGCAACCTCCAACTCCTAGGCTCAAGCGAGTCTCCTGCCTCAGCATCCCAAGTAGCTGGGACCACAGGCGCCCACCACAACGTCTGGCTATTTTTTGGTTGCAGCCATCATTGTTGTTTGGCAGGCCCGGGCTGGATTTGAACCCTCCACCTTAGGTGTATGTGGCTGGCACCTTAGCCACCTGAGCCACAGGCGCCGAGCCAGCTATTTTTAGAGACAGGGTCTCACTCTTGCTCAGGCTGGTCTCGAACTCCTGAGCTCAAGTGATTCACCCGCTTGGCCTCCCAGAGTGCTAGGGAATGAGCCACCACACCTGGCAACTCATTTGATTTCAAAGACCATGAAGGGTAAAGGGAGGGCCGGGTTTGAACCCAGTATGGGGCTGGCAACCTACTCCTTTGAGCCACAGGTGCCGCCCAGAAAGTATTAATATTTTTGTCAAACCACAGCAATCAGAAGAGTGTGCATGGAAAGGTGAAGAGAGGCCGAGAAGGAACGTCCAAAGGCACGAGGAGAAATTCCATTCTCTGTGGACTCTGGCAAGGTGCATCATCAGGGAGTCATCCAGAAAGTAGCAATGTATAAAGTTATTTAAAGAGGAATGCTCAAAATCTTTATTTCTGAGTCACCCTGGCACTTGCCCATTAGTAAGGAGGAGAATTGGGTGAAATTTACTTGGTCGTGGATTGCTGCAATTTGAACAGACTCAAAGAAAAGAGCTTTGCCCCACTGACTGCTCCTAGCGGGTCTCGGCGCTGGCACTGGAAGAGTGGGTATAGTCACAGATTGTGGCTGAAGAGGACAAACAAAAGCCAGCTTTTTCACCTGCCCTGGTGGTGCTGGGAATTCTTTTTTTTTTTTTTTGAGACAGAGCCTCAAGCTGTCCCCCTGGGTAGAGCGCTATGGCTTCACTGCTCACAGCAACCTCCAACTCCTGGGCTCAGGCGAGTCTCCTGCCTCTGCCTCCCAAGTAGCTGGGACCACAGGCGTCCGCCACAACGCCCGGCTATTTTTTGGTTGCAGCCATCATTGTTGTTTGGCGGATCCGGGCTGGGGATTCGAACCCACCACCTTAGGTGTAGGTGGCTGGCGCCTTAGCCGGTTGAGCTATAGGCGCTGAGCCGGTGCTGTGAATTCTAAAGTGTGTCTCAAGGAATATTGAGAGATCCCAGGCATCTGTACTTAGTGGACTGAGAAGGGAAAGTTTGTAGGGATCATTCATCCAACACCGAGCACCTACTTCCTGCCCAACACAGTCCCCAAAGAAGAGAGCAGGGACGCTTTTGCCCTGTTTCAGGGAGGGAAGCAGCACTCACTGCTGGGAGGTCCATGGGAAGGGACTTAGGAGCGCAGGAGCCCTGAGGAGGAAACCGGCTTGGGACCGGCTTAGAGGGAGCTTCACTGACTTGGTTCGGGGAGTGCTTCCCCCAAGGCAAAGAAGGATCCTGAGGGGGACCTTAGAAACCTCCCTAATCAGCCCTTTCTGCTGCAGGGGCTCTCTGCTCCCACACTGTGGGCAGCTCCCTCATCTCACAGGTGACAGTCTACAGGTGTCTCCCTCCTCGCAAGCTCTGCCCTGTGGCCTCTGCCTGGCCGCCTCCTTCTCTTCACTCAGATCTTAGTTCTGGAGTCCTCTCTTTAGAATGGCCTTCTCAGTGGCCACATCTGGAGTAGCCCTGCCTTGCTCTGCACAGTCCCTCCCATGTGCTTCTGGGGGGGTTGCGTTTGGTTCGCCACCCACGTCTACCTGGAGGTCTCCCCACCCTATGAGCCACCTACTCCTTGCTGGGACTCTGATCTGCCCTACTACACAAGCCTAAGGCCCTTCATGTCCCCACCTCCCTGTGTGTAGACGTTATTTATGTGCTGCCCCACGTGTGTGTCAGCATCTCCAGGGAAGACCCCATGCCTGCCAGGGAACACCAGGAGGGGAAAGGGCCAGGTCCCCAGCAGGCAGGCCTAAGGGCCACAGCTTGGGGAACTTATTCCAACCCTGGACAAGTGAGACAGCATCTTTTCAGGGGTGGTGGGGGCAGGGATGCATTCTGGAAAACCCAGATGAGATTTCAGGGCAGGGTCAAATTGGGCAGGTCCCCAGGGATGACAAAGCCCTCCTCCACAAGCACTGTCCAGCACCTCCTACACACCTCACTTACTCTTGAGGTTACTCACCCCCCCCCCATGCTTGTGCACTCGTGTGCTTATGTACATGTCCAACAGGACGGAGAAATGCAGGGAAGCCCATTCATAAGCTTTTCTTTCTTTCTTTCTTTTTTTTTTTTTGTGACAGAGTCTCACTCTGGGTAGAGTGCTATGGTGTCACAGCTCACAGCAGCCTCTAACTCTGGAGCTCAAGTGATCCTCCTGCCTCAGCCTCCCAAGTAGCTGGGTCTACAGGCATCTGCCACATGCCTGGCTGGTGTTTCTATTTTTAGTAGAGATGGGGGTCTCACTGTTGCTCAGGCTAGTCTCAAACTCCTGAGCACAAGCAATCCACCCTTCTCAGCCTCCCAGAGTGCTAGGATTACAAGGCAGGCTGCATTCATAATCTTCTTTCTTTCCTTTCTTTTTTTTGAGACAGAGCCTCAAGCCGTCCCCCTGGGTAGAGTGCTATGGCATCACAGCTTACAGCAACCCCCAACTCCTGGGTTCAAGTGATTCTCCTGTCTCTGCCTCCCAAGTAGCTGGGACTACAGGCACCTACCACAACGCTCGGCTACTTTTTGGTTGCAGCTGTCATTGTTGTTTGGTGGGCCCGGGCTGGATTTGAACCTGCCAGCTCAAGTGTATGTGGCTGGCACCTTAGCTGCTTGAGCTCCAGGCATCGAGCCCTCATTCATAATCTTTTTTTTTTTTTTTTTTTTTTTT